CAGTAGGAAAACACATTAAAGAGTTCAAACTAAAACGTCCAGAATCCAAAACAGAAAAAACAATACTGCCAATGATTAGCTCATTAAAGAAGGATGATACAGAAGGCACCTGCTTGTTAACAATATTCAAGTCTATACAAAAAATTCAACTATAGTCAATTTCCTAGAAAAAAAATTGAAATGGAGTGTTGGCACCCGCAGGCAATTTCATTTTAGAAAACCAAAAAAAAATTTAGAAAAAATTATACAGTAGGCAAACACATTGAAGAGTTCAAATTAAAATGTCCAGAATCTTAAACAGAAAAAAATCTGACGATGATAAGCTCATTAAAGTATGATAATACAAAGGGCACCTGAAGGTTATCAATAAACATGTCTGTGCAAAAAATTCAACTAGAGTAAAATTCCTAAAAAAAAAATTGAAGGGGAGTGTTGGCGCCCGCAGGCAAATGCATTTTAGAAAACCAAAAAAAAATTTAAAAAAAATTATACAATCAGAACACTTATCAATGAGTTCAAACTACAGTCTTCAGATTCATAAACATAAAAAACCAATCCACAATGATAACCTAGGTCTCGTTTAAGAATTTCAATACAAGTTATCAAAATACAACAAGAGTCAAATTCCTAAAAAAAAAATTGAAGGAGAGTGTTGGCGCCCGCAGGCAAATGCATTTTAAAAAACCAAAAAAAAATTAGAAAAAATTATACACTAGGAAAACACATAAAAGAGTTCAAAATAAAATGTCCAGAATCTTAAACAGAAAATAAATTTACAATGATTATCTATTTGAAGAATGATAATACAAAAGGCACCTGGATGTTATCAATATTCCAGTCTGTGCAAAAAATTCAACTAGACTCAAATTCCTAAAGAAAAATGTGAAGGGGAGTGTTGGCGCCCGCAGGCAATTGCATTTCAGAAAACCAAAAACTTATTTATAAATAATTATTCATTAGGAAAACACATTAAAGATTCAAATTAAAATGTCCAGAATCCAAAACAGAAAAAACAAAACTGCCAATGATTAGCTCATTAATGAATGATGATCCAGAAGGCACCTGCTTGTTAACAATATTCAAGTCTATACAAAAAATTCAACTATAGGGTCAATTTCCTAGAAAAAAAATTGAAATGGAGTGTTGGCGCCCGCAGGCAATTGCATTTTAGAAAACCAAAAACAAATTTAGAAAAAATTATACAATCAGAACACTTATCAATGAGTTCAAACTACAGTCTTCAGATTCATAAACAGAAAAAACCAATCCACAATGATTACCTAGGTCTCGTTTAAGAATTTCAATACAGAGAGCACCTGCAAGTTATCAAAATACAACAAGAGTCAAATTCCTAAAAAAAAATTGAAGGAGAGTGTTGGCGCCCGCAGGCAAATGCATTTTAAAAAACCAAAAAAAAATTAGAAAAAATTATACACTAGGAAAACACATAAAAGAGTTCAAAATAAGATGTCCAGAATCTTAAACAGAAAATAAATTTACAATGATTATCTATTTGAAGAATGATAATACAAAAGGCACCTGGATGTTATCAATATTCCAGTCGGTGCAAAAAATTCAACTAGACTCAAATTCCTAAAGAAAAATGTGAAGGGGAGTGTTGGCGCCCGCAGGCAAATGCATTTTAGAAAACAAAAAAAAAATTAGAAAAAATTATACGATAATAAGGCATATTGAAGAGTTCAAACTAAAACGTCCAGAATCTTAAACAGAAAAAACAATTCTGCCAATGAATAGCTCATTAAAGAATGATGATACAGAGGGCACCTGCTTCTTAACAATATTCAAGTCTATACAAAAAATTCAACTAGAGTCAAATTCCTAAAGAAAAAATTGAAATGGAGTGTTGGCGCCTGCAGGCAACTGCATTTTAGAAAACCAAAAACAAATTTAGAAAAAATTATACAATCAGAACACTTATCAATGAGTTCAAACTACAGTCTTCAGATTCATAAACAGAAAAAAAAAATCCACAATGATTACCTAGGTCTCGTTTAAGAATTTCAATACAAGTTATCAAAATACAACAAGAGTCAAATTCCTAAAAAAAAAATTGAAGGAGAGTGTTGGCGCCCGCAGGCAAATGCATTTTAAAAAACCAAAAAAAAATTATAAAAAATTATACACTAGGAAAACACATAAAAGAGTTCAAAATAAGATGTCCAGAATCTTAAACAGAAAATAAATTTACAATGATTATCTATTTGAAGAATGATAATACAAAAGGCACCTGGATGTTATCAATATTCCAGTCTGTGCAAAAAATTCAACTAGACTCAAATTCTTAAAGAAAAATGTGTAGGGGAGTGTTTTCGCCCGCAGGCAAATGCATTTTAGAAAACAAAAAAAAAAATTAGAAAAAATTATACGATAATAAGGCATATTGAAGATTTCAAACTAAAACGTCCAGAATCCAAAACAGAAAAAACAATACTGCTAATGATTAGCTCATTAAAGAAGGATGATACAGAGGGCACCTGCTTGTTAACAATATTCAAGTCTATACAAAAAATTCAACAAGACTCAAATTCCTAAAGAAAAATGTGAATGGGAGTGTTGGCGCCCGCAGGCAAATGCATTTTAGAAAACCAAAAAAAAATTTAAAAAAAATTACACAGTAGGAAAACACATTAAAGAGTTCAAAATAAAATGTCCAGAATCAAAAACAGAAAAAACAATATTGCCAATAATTAGCTCATTAAAGATAGATGATACAGAGGGCACCTGCTTGTTAACAATATTCAAGTCTATACAAAAAATTCAACAAGACTCAAATTCCTAAAGAAAAATGTGAAGGGGAGTGTTGGCGACTGCAGGCAATTAAATTTTAGAAAACTAAAAAATATTAAGAAAAAATTATACGGTATTAAGCCAATTTGAATGGTTCGTACACTTAATGTCCAGAATCTTAAATAGATAAACAACTGACGATGATTACCTCATTAAAGAATGATAATACAGAGGGCACCTGCAGGTAATCAATAAACAAGTCTGTGCAAAAAATTCAACTAGAGTCAAATTCCTAAATAGAAATTGAAGGTAGGAGGATAATTGCAATTTTTGGAAGGTGTTTCAATGCCTTGTTGGTAATGCCATCCTCACCTGGTGCTTTTGCTGAAGGGAGTCCTTTTATTATGTCAGATACTTTGTTCGGCGTAACATAGTCTTCTGATGGAGGATTTACAAGGTCGCGTATTGTTTGGATTGAGTTGGTGACTTCAGGTCATGGTGGGCCCGGATTGTTTTTTAACTGGGCTGACATTGTGTCTGCGAAAAGTTCTGCCTTTAAGTTAGTGTCGTAGATTTTTGTCTCATCAGGTGCTTTGAGAGGTTGACATTTTGGTTGTTTGTGGAGGAGTCGTCGGTTCAATTTGTATATAGATTTGTTTTTAAAATTGAGAGTGGCAGTAAAAGAATTCCATTCAGATTGTCTGTGGCGAGTGAGGATATCTTTGACATGGGAAACCTGTGCGTTGTACAGCGTTTTCACCTGAGGGTCGCGCGTACGTTGCCAGTGTTTCCGTAGTAACCGCTTGGTATCAATCTCAAGCAGTATGTCATCAGGTGTTGATTTTGGTTGGTCTAGTGTTCGCGATTCGTAGGAACAGTTTTTGATCTCTGATTGGATGACTTTGGTGAGTTGGTCGATGTTTTTGTTTATGTCATCGATGGTGGTGATGCGAATGTTTTTTATTTGGAGAGTTAGTTCGGTTTGGAACTTTCTCCAATTTATACGTTTCCTTGCTGATGGTGGCCCGCACATTGAAGGTCGGGATGATAGGTTTAGCATCTGAGGGTTATGGTCTGACGATAATTCGCAGTGATTGGTTAGGAGGTAGTGCGTGTTTGGCAAGTCTAGCAGGAAAATATCGAGGATGTCTGGTCGATGGGCTGCGATGTAGGGATAGTGAGTTGGCGAGTCAGGGGCAACGACCGAGTATCGGTTTACCCGCTCGGCATGTTGTGCAAGGGTCTTGCCTGATTTGTTACGTTGTGGGCATTGCCAGTCTGTGTGCTTAGCATTTAGGTCGCCGCCAATTATGAGAGGACCATCGTGGTTGGTCAGCGCGTCGAAATCTGTTGGTTTGACTGTAACGCCTGGGCTTTTGTATACTGCAGTTACCTGGGCGATGTTGTTTTCGAGTTTTATATTAACCGAGGTCGAGTCGAGTTTGGTTTGAATATTTACGGGTTGATGTACAATGCCACGACGGATAAGCACTGCGGTTCCCCGTTTGGAGGTGTTCTTGGCCGTGGTTGGCGATCTGTATGGTAAGTATGAAAATTTGGGATTTTGAGCTGAGTTTTGGGGTCGAGGTGGGTTTCTCCAAGCAGGATTATATTTACGTTGTGAATTTTTACAAATGCTGTCAATTCTGATATTTGGTTTCCGATACCGTTGCAGTTCCATGATAAGATTTTTAGGTCATTCATCATATGATGTAGGAATGGCGTTTATGATTCTCAGGACTGTTGTGATGACTGCATTTTTTGATGCGACGTCTTCACTTTCTTGAGCTGTTGTAAGGAGGTCTTTGATTATTTGTAGGAGCTTGGATGCGTTTATTGTAGGTTCGGGCTTTTCTGTTTGGTGTTTTGTTACATTTGCGTAAGATTTGATTTTTGATGCTATGGTGGTTTCGTGTGTTGCGGGTAGTGGTATAGGCGTTGGCATCGTTGTCAGCACGGATTTGTTTCTTGCTTCTCTGGAGTGGTCTATTTTTCCTTTGTAAATATCTGTGTAGTATGGGCAGCCCCTATAGTTTTCGGTGTGTTTTCCATTACAGTTGCAGCAGGTTGGGGTATCTTCTTTCGGTTTCTTGCATTCTTTGTTTGAATGGTTTGCTCCACACTTAACGCATCTTGGTGGGTGTCCCCACTGAAGTGATGAGTGGTCAAATCTCTGGCATGAAAAGCATTGGGCGAGACCCGTTGATTTATATGGTTCTATTTTTACTCGGACGTAGAAAAGTTCGGTGGTTTCAAATATTTCTTTCACATTTTCTGTGCGTTTTAGGGAGACCATGTGGATGGATTGGAAGTCTTTTATCATTTTTTACAAAAGCTCGGACAAAATTTGGTTTGAAACCTTCCTCTAGAAGTTCTTCCATGAGTTCATCGTCAGTAACGTCAAGTGGAACACCTTTAATTACAATATTGAGAGATTGTTCTTTGGGTAATGCAAAAGTGTGGAAGCTGATTTTGTTGATGGTCATGAATTGTTGGACGAGTCTGAATGAGGATTCTTCAGGGCAGTTTATTTGGATTTGTAACGGAATCGATGTAGTTTTTGCGGTCACTTGGTCGAGACCTTGAGTTTTTGCGTACATGGCTTTTGCTATTTTCCGCCATGGATGGTCAGTGGTTGTTTGGATCAGAATTGGTAGCATGCGGATGGAGCGTTTATTGTCGGATTGTGGGTCATTTTTAAGTGATTTTTTGTTTGTCTCGTCAGTGTCCGAAGGGGGAGTAGACATGGTATCATTAGAATCAGAATACTCAGATCCATCCACAGAAACGGAACGAGAACGGTTGTTGCTGTTAGTGGTAATATCCGTGTCCGGAATTGATGAACAATTGGTGGCCATGGCCAGCTTCTTCAGAGTTATTGAATTTTCAGGAGGTTTCTGCGTTTTTTCGATGTGGTAGATAAGTCTTTAAGGCATGAGTTTAATGGAAATGATGGTGGTGAGAAGGCCCGATTACGACCCTTCTTATCGGTGGGATAAGGTGGTGTTGATTTTCGTTTGTTGCGTCCGACGCCACCACGATGAGTCATGGTCGGCGAAAATACTCGCGGATTGGTAACCTTATGCAACCGGTGCGTGACCCGGCCTCGGTAATCCCTCAGGTACCTTGCCTCGTGGTCGAGCAGGGGGGGAATATAAAGGAATTTTCTACTTACGTAAGTCTATGCTGTGCTGGATGACTGGAAGTCGTCGTGCGGTAGATTGGTTCGTGTCAGGAGCGTTGGCGGAGAGCTGCATGTGTAAATTTTTCATTTTTCATTCTTCATTCACCTGGTTGTCGGTGTTTAAAAAATAAATATAGAAAGACTGGCAGTAGTTAAGTAACAAAAAAATTGTGGAGGGGAACATGGAAGCCTTTAGGCAAATTAATATCATAAATCAAAAAAAATGAGATAAAATTCAACATTAAATATTGTCTAAAAACTCGACAAAATTGAAAAATTTTATAGAAAAAAAATTGTAAAGGGAAAGTGACACTCACAGGAAAACGAGTTTTAAAGAGAAAATAAAAAAACAAAAAAAAATTTAGGAACACACATTAAAGAGTTTCAAATACTATTCAAAATAATTAGTTCATTAAAAATGATAAGACAGAGGGCACCTGCAGATTATCAATATTCAAGTCTATACAAAAAATTCAAGTAGAGTTAAATTCCTACCAAAAAATTGAAGGGAAATGTTGGCATCCGAAGGCAAATGCATATTAGAAAACAAAAAAACAAAATTTAGAAGAAATCATACAATAGGACCACATAATAAGGAGTTCAAACTAAAATGTCGAGAATCTTAATAAAAAAAAAAACTATTTAAAATATTTAGTTCATTTATGAAAGATTATTCATAGGTTACCTACAGGTTATCAATGTTCATGTCTATACGAAAAATTCAAATATAGTGAAATTCCCCCCAAAAAAATCGAATGGTTGTGTTGGCGCCGATATTCAAATGCATATTACAAAACAAAAAAAACTTAAAAAATATATAGGTACGAACTAGAAACTGCATTCTATAACCTGCAGGTTTGTAAATTATATAGTAAGTACACAGCTACTCAGTTTACTCGCTGGTATAGCCGGTTAGTGTTTAAAAATATTTATACAAAACAATCTACTAGAGTTAAATGACTCAAAAAAATAATTGTATGAGGAACCTGGGTGAAATAATAATTCTAAACAAAAGAGGAAGCTGGAAGCTAAATACTGCAGTACATTTTAACCACAATCCAAAAACTAAGTATTGTTTACATTAAAAGAAACGAACAGTTATTATGATCAAAGGTAATATTATATTAGAAAATGTATAAAAATGAATTCAATTTATTAAGGATGCAAAACAATTAAATGGGAACAGTGGCGTATATAGAAATAATTTTTTGTTATTTTTCAACAGGCTACGAAACATTATAACTGATAAGTTATAAGTTATAATAGTACATAAGAAAATATATTGTTGTTCTATTTAAAAAGACTGTAATTTCGGGGATGGATGGGCTGCAGCCCACTGTGCCCACCCCCTATATACGCCACTGAATGGGATGAGGTCCCGCACGGACTCTTGTATGTGATTGTAATTTATGAAGGACATAAAAATATAAAATAATGTTTAATTAAAAATAATATTGTGTTTAAGCTGGGTCTACAGTCAATTTTAAATTACAAACTATAAAGTCTTAATATAAATAAAAAATATAGTCAGATAGGTATCTGTTTTGGTCTTTGTAAATATGCGCGGAAAAAATTAGATTTAGTACAATGTAAAAAAAGTGGGAAGGAAGACTTGACAATTCTTTGACACTAAGATATTAAAACACAAAATCATATTTTAAATTAAAACTATTGATTTTATACATTTTCTATTTAAAAAAACTTATAAGTATTGAAAACCTTATAAAAACTAAAAAACCTAATAAAATAATATTATATTTTATTTTAAAATACATTTCATAATTTTTTGTGGTAAAAAATGCATTAATTAAGGTTAGCCGAGCTTAAGTTTTTAATTATACTGATACAACTCTAGCTGGCAGTCTTTAAGACCGTGTTAAAAACTATGATAATTAGTTAAAGTCTAATTTCCCGACCTATCCTAACCTAATGCCAGAGCCGTTTGATCATGCATTTTGTAGTTCTCTGAACCACCAAAAATTATGGGTGGTGGGGGGGGGGGGGTGTTATTTTAATAGGTAGGTACTTGGTCTTGGTAATCACTAATCAGTGTCTGGTATGGTCATATAGGTAATATAAAAATGGTTAGTTTGATGGCCAATTCATTATTAGCAGCAAATATATACAATCACATAGGTACATTAACAATCAAATTATGAAGTTATAAACAGCTTTATGACGAAGAAGGTGGGTAAGTGGATGTCACTCTGCTGTTCAGTATCTTACAAGTGGGTCACTGTATAATGGATGGTATTAATTTGAATTCAATGATATAATATCATTGTATACGAAATACGATTCTGAGAGGTGACAGTTTGTCAGTGTGGATATCTTATATTTATATTGTTAAATATTATTACTTATAATTAATACGGTAGCCGGTTGAATTAATATTATAAAAAGGTGGGCAAGTGGATGTCGCTCTGCTGTACAGTAGGTTACAAGTGGGTCACTGTAATGGATGGTGTTAAATTTGAATTCAACGATATAATATCATTGTATAAGAAAAACGATTCTGAGCGAAAACGGTCAGTCAACCTATGATATTACGAAGTAGGTATATATTTGATGATATTAAGGTGAATAAAGTAATTTATATATAATCTATTTACGTGGAATCTTGTTTTAAATTTTCAATCCTTAGCTATAAAAGTTGAACGTTTTATACATTTTTAACTACAAAATTTATATTAAATTTTAAATTTGATAAATTTTGTCAAAATTTGAATCTTAAATACTTATAAAAAAAATTGTGATTATGATTTTTAATATTTTTCAACTGCTCTTGTAACAATATATTAGGAGCTTTGCATTAAATTTTCACGCTTTTTTACCCAATAAATAAAATGTTATTGATATTTATTAGAAAAAAAAACTAAATATATTGAAGACTGACAATGTCCGTAAACAACTCAAAAAGAGTCAAATTATTTTCAAAATTGTATGGTGAATAGAAAATGCCAATATAAACATTCAGTGAAATTTTAAAGTATCTACAGTCATTCGTTTTATAATTACAATAAAATAAGAAAATAGTTTCATGAGAAATCGAGTGAATATCAAATATTGTAAAAATATGAGTTTCAAACGCTCATAAAAATTTAATTTGAGTTTCTTGTAGAAATTTTTTTTTTGATAAAGGTAGACAAACTAACGAGAAATCTTGAATTACTTTTTCAGACCTTAGATTTAAAAAGAAAACATTTTAGGAATTTCTAACTCAAAATAAATTGCACATTTTCGTGAATTTTACGTATTTTGTCAATATTTGAACTTAAAATGCTTATAAAAAAAAACTGTGAATATTTATTTTTAGTAACTCGTCTAATATGCTACCTACCATAAAATGGTATCTATCAAAATACTGTATGCGTGTAGTATGCTACCTACCATAGTTATTTTTATTTCGTTTCATTTTATCGCGGGAAAGTACATTTGAGTCATTACGATAAGTAACATATTATAACAGGTGTACAAAATTATAGCTTATTATAAACCACTATGATAACTTTACTGATCCACCAAGTCCCATGGGCCATGATAACTTACTTTTAGATATATTATTTTAGTCTATGTTGTGTTTGTGTTGTGTTCGGGTATGCGTCCTAATCGTTGCGAGTTTAAATTTTTATGTGATACTGACGATATTGACGATGATTATTCAACTCAAAAAAATTACGGTACTCGCATTCAAGGTCCATGGATTTTTGGTATGTGTTATAAAAATGTTGATGGGGTTCTAGAACGAAGATTTTTTAAAGTGAAAAAAAGAGATAAGGCAACTTTATTACAAATAATACTAAATGAAATAGAACTAGGATCAATTATTTATTCAGATCAATGGCGAGTATACAGTTATACCTATACTTTAAAAGATATAGACTATCATCATGAAACCGTCAATCGTCGTTCCGAGTTTTTTGTTGATCCTACAACAGACGCACAAACACAAACGATCGAGTGTATATGGAGACATGCAAAACTAAATCCAGAATTAAAACCCGAGGAGCAACAGATTTGTTAGACCGACAGTTAAAAGCAGAATGGTAATACGCAACACGACTTATTAGAAGTTTTCTGGGATGACCGATGATGTAAAAATAATATACAATGTATGATAATGTATTATAATGACATATTATAAAGTACTTGACAACAATAAATTAATAAATTATTTAGTAATAAACTGTTATTAATATTATTGTCAATTTGTTATTGATCAATAATCCGTAAACTTTTTGTGGTAGGCATCGTTATACGATAGGTAGCATACTAAGCACCAACGAAGTAGCGGTAGGTAGCATATTAGACGAGTACCGATTTTTAATATTTTTCATTTGTCTTTGAAAAAAATATATTAGGAGCCTTCTATTAAATGTTCAACCTTTTTTAAACAAAAAATAAAATTTTATTGATATATATAGAATAAAAAATTTAAAAAAATTGGAAACTGAAAATTTCCTTAAACAGCTCAAAATAATTCAAAATATTTTGAAAATGTTGTGGTGTATAGGAAATACTAATATGAACATTCAGTCAAAATTTCATCTATTTACGGTAATTTGTTTTAGGGTTAGGTACACCAAAAACCAAAATCGACTTAAGCGAAAACCGATTTTGCGTACAAATTCTCGTTTTTCCTTTAATTAAATTAAGAAAATTTTCTTTTGTTTT